TCACCCATTATACCAAGTCAAGCCTCACCCATTATGCCAAGTCAAGCTTCTCCCATTATGCCAAGTCAAGCCTCCCCAGTGTCAAGTCAAGCCTCGCCCATTATGCCAAGTCAAGCCTCTCCCATTATGCCAAATCAAGCCTCCCCAGTGTCAAGTCGAGCCTTCCCCAGTGTGTCAAGTCAAGCCTCACCCATTATGCCAAGTCAAGCCTCCCATTATGCCAAGTCAAGCTTCTCCCATTATGCCAAGTCAAGCCTCACTCATTATGCCAAATCAAGCCTCCCCCAGTGTGTCAAGTCAAGCCTCGCCCATTATGCCAAGTCAAGCCTGTGTCAAGTCAAGTCTCTCCCATTATGCCAAGTCAAGCCTCCCCCAGTGTGCCAAGTCAAGCCTCCCCCATTATGCCAAGTCAAGCTTCTCCCATTATGCCAAGTCAAGCCTCCCCCAGGGTCAAGTCAAGCCTCTCCCATTATGCCAAGTCAAGTCTCTCCCATTATGCCAAGTCAAGCCTCCCCTAGTGTGTCAAGTCAAGCCTCACCCATTATACCAAGTCAAGCCTCACCCATTATGCCAAGTCAAGCTTCTCCCATTATGCCAAGTCAAGCCTCCCCAGTGTCAAGTCAAGCCTCGCCCATTATGCCAAGTCAAGCCTCTCCCATTATGCCAAATCAAGCCTCCCCAGTGTGTCAAGTCAAGCCTCGCCCATTATGCCAAGTCAAGCCTCTCCCATTATGCCAAGTCAAGCCTCCCCTAGTGTGTCAAGTCAAGCCTCACCCATTATACCAAGTCAAGCTTCTCCCATTATGCCAAGTCAAGCCTCACCCAGTGTCAATTCGAGCATTATTTTCTGCATCAGAGAACGGTTCCTTCACTTTAGCCAGGGTAAATAATAGCTGGCATTACAGCTTTGATATACCATGGACTAAGTTGCCCTCAAGGACAAGACAGGTACTAGATGATGAGCAGAGACCATCTGCCAGGCAGAGAAGAGAGATTGTAAGGATTGTGATGGCTGAAGTTGTCATGGTGTGCAAGAAACCTGGAAAGAGGCCCTCACACAGAGAAGAGACATTATCAGAACTGAAGGGGACCGAAGAGAAATTTAAGGTGTGGCCTTTCCTGTTCCAGGAATTTGGAATGAGGCTTAATTTCAGAGAACTATCAGGCATCCAGATTGACGACACCTGCTAGAAGAGGTGAGGGCTCAGACAAGGACACCACTGGTGCTGAATTACAGAGGACTATTGGCAACAGAGTAAAGTACATGGACAGCAGATTTAAAAATCTGTTTGAAAAACCTCTGTCTTGTTTCAAAGTTTTTGACCCTTCTTCTCTCCCCCTCTCCAGAGAAGAGCTGGCAAATTATGGGGATGAAAAGGTGGATTATCTAGTCAAACATTTTGCCAGTTTGCTAAATGAGGAAGAGAAGGACAACATTCCACAGGAATGGATGGATCTAAAAATGTGGTTTTCAGAGCACCAGGTGTCAAGCAAGACTGCTTGTACAAAGATCTTCTCACTGAGAATCCAGAACACCTCTCTCATATTTTGTTGTTGGTGAAATTAATGCTGACAAGTCCATCGACAGCCATCTGTGAGAGAGGATTTTCCTGCATGAACCGAGTGAAAACATCATCTCGTACTTCTCTACAGTCTGAAACACTGAACGATCTCATGAAACTATCCATAAAAGAGGTTGAATCTTTTTACCCTGACAAGGCAGTTAGTTCCAGGATGTTTTCTGGAATTGGTTCAAGACACCTGAAACATAAAACCCCATCAAAAAAAGAGCAGAGAAGTGGAGATTGATGCACAGGAGGAGAACGCTGATGAAGATGCTATGCCTTCAACATCGAGCGCCATTTTCTCTGTTACATCAGTGGAGATCTCTGACTGATTCTGATCATGTCTGAATCAGACATTTGTATTGATGAGTCTAATTTGATTATTTTATATCTGAATGTTGATATTTGGGTTTTGAATTTTATTTTTTATTGATGTTTGGACTCAATTTGCTACAATAAATATTCTCTTTTAATTTGGGCTAGTAAAATTCATTTCGGGCTACCATAACCTGAAGAGTGCCTGCCCGAAGAGCTACCAGCGATTTAGAAATTTTGCGAGCCCTGCCTGGAATATATTAACAGAACAGGTACCTGTTAGTTGTAAAATAATTACATTATAAATAATTTGCTTGTATATCTGCTTGTTTACCCTTTATTACCCAAAACTTAACATTTTGTTCCCTTATACCTACATTGAAATAAACTATAATTACAAAAACGTCCACCGTAATTTCGGCTTACTTACGCAGTTGTTTACGGGTCGTAAAATAAAGTGTTACCCCCATTTCTTACACACACACACACACACACAAGTTTCACACAGAGACTGTCAAATGCAAAAGGGTGGTCAGAGAATCACTCGGGGAGCTTTTCAACTTTAACCCAATAAGTCTTCAGTACTCTAAAACGGTAAGATGATTTTATTTTTTTGCCACCCATGATTTTTTTTAAATAAAATAATTGCTCCTGGGGGAGAATAATCGGTCATAACCTGTAATGTTTTTTTCTCTGGGATCTTTTTGTTTGAAAATATATTTTATACCCATTTTATTCACAGACTTTTAAAGTATTTAAGTATTTGTGAATGAATGACTAAATGCACATTTTATAACCATTTCATTTATATACCTTTTAAACTCTATTGTGCAAGATTTGTGACATTATTAAGAAAACTCTCTCACACTAACCCCCATTAATGGGTTATCTGGGCGGGAATTCTGCGACCAAATCTTGTTTTTATGCTCATTGACAACATAATCAGGGTTTCGTCTGTCACATTTAAGACTTTAAGACCATTACGATTGAAATTTATGACCTACACAAATTCCGAAAAATAATTTTTAATTAACTTTCATTAAAAGTAATGTTTCGTTATTTAAAGGTACCATTTTCTTTAGAGTAACATACTGAAGGCTCCCTTTTCCTAAGTATCAATAACACAGGAACAACACTTAACAATTATCATGATAATATATCAGTCAATATCGACAGTAATAACGATAAATGTCAAATCTTTATTTCTTTCAAGTTTAAAGGCAGATTATTGCTCCTAACTGGAAGTTGTAGAAACTAGGGTGTTAACTGTGGTTTTAAACTACTCTTTATTGGCAGAACATATGACAAACGCTTGCCAAACAGGTGAACATTTCACAAAAATGAGGTAGAACATTAAAAAATGTGTAATTTTTCCTTAAAATTAGTATCTTTATTGGAAAATTAATTTCTTAGTTTCTGTATGGGCTAATAGGGGATATTGTTTCAAGTCTTGAAACAGGTTTGTGTTGCCTGACTTTGATGGCCCATATCTTCATGAAATGTATGAAAAACAGTATAGCCTAAGTGTCAATTTACAGGAGATCTGAAGACATCAGCATAATAAATGAGGTGAAATCAAGAACTATTGTCATGAAATTAAGAGTGTTTTCAGCAGATCTGTTAATATTGATGATCCTCAGACTATCAACACTCATTCAACAAGCCATTCAGGATCATCATCAGCAGATCATCTCACTTTATTCTGAGTGTTTGCTGTTAGAAACAGAATAAAGTAAGCTGATGATCCTAATGGCTTATCAAGATAAGCCAGGAAATATGTTAAAAGCCAATAAAACCACTCTATTCAGTCCCTCCAGAAAAACGCGATTATGCGATCGCTGAATTCAATGCAAAATCAGCCAAAGTCCGCATATTTATGCGGGGGCCGCATTTTTTCGAATAAGCCGCACTTTCGCCGCATAAAATGCCTATTTCCATGCAAAATATGCGGGGCTTGCATGATTTCATAATCCTCGCATTTTCGTTGCAAAAAAAAGTCACATATATCTTCGCAGAAAGTTGAAAAATGTTGCGTTTGCTTCATACAAGAGCAGCCATTTCCTCCTGTTTCCATGGGAACGTTATGAAGTGACACAATTACGCGACGGGATAGCTCACAGCTGAAGTTACTGCAGAGGCCAGACAGACTCACGGAGGCGATTGACATCTCACAAATCGAACTCGTATAACTGTCTGTCACACGTTCTACCATCACATCGTTACTTATAGACAAAATAAGATAAAAGAATAAGCATCAAACAGAAATTACCCGCACACATGGGGTGTTTGAGGCGCACACACTGCAGACAGTTCAGCGCGCAGCTCTTAAAGGGGCCACACCTTATTTACACTCGTTAGTCTGAAATAAAACATTGCTGATTTTGTAATTATGAAAGAGAGTCTATTGTGCACTTATTGTTTGAATGTCCCTATTTTTCAATCTTTTGGAATGAGATGTCTCAATTTCTAGGTTTTAAAATGAATTGCAACCTTGTCTTAAATTTGTCATCTTCATACAAATGATTTTGACTTTCCTATAAGAAAAATGTATGTTATCGATTTTTTCTATTATTAGGAAAATTTCATATTCATGAAACTAAGTGGAGTAACTCAAAACCCAACTTTGCTCATTTCAAAACAGCCTTTAAAATGTATTTTGAGTCTTTAAAATTTAAAACAAAAAATCGAAAAGCCCAAAAGATCTGTATCTCTGCTAAAGGAATTTAATATGTCTGTGATGCCCTCTATCTTTTTTTTTCTTTTTTCCCAAATTATTGTTTCATGTTTTAGGCTACTTCTCAGATGTTATACTTATCAGAAAATGTGTAAAAGAAATGTCAAGAACTTGATATCAAACTCTGTGATTTTGAAAATTTAATAAAAATAAAACGAGATGAGAAATTAAATATTCCCAGCACTTTCTATGATGTAGTATGCTTGCTACATCATAGAAAGTAATAAGAAATGACTCTTTACATTAAGGTAGTATAGTGAGAAAAGGATGTTGGGGGAATCACTTTTTTTCTCTTTTTCATCAAACCGCAGTTTTTGCAAGTTCCCGCAATTTCATCGCATAAAACTGCATAAATATCCCGCATATTCCATCGCATTTTTAAAGAAAACGGGCTGCGTAATCAAGGATTTTTGCCCGCAACAATCACAAAAAAACTCTGCGTTTTTCTGGAAGGACTGTCTATTGGAAGACTACACTGTTATTTCTCACAATTTTACACATAAATCATCAATAACGCAAAAAAAAAAAAAAATGCAATTAAGTTTTGTATGTGCAGAAACTTACAATGATCATAAAACCTTTAAAACTAAACATGCTCGACTGTAGAAAAATAAAAAATATTTAAAAAATTACCAACTCATTATCTGTGACAATTTATCATCGTCACGACGTCAGAGTTACTTACGGGCAACAATACAAAGCATCACTTTTACAGTCGCCACGACGAAAGTTTGGTCATCGGATGGTGTTTGTTCGCTGGGTGTATTGTTTAGTAGAGTTCAGACTCTACTCTGAGCTCCTCACCCCATCTATAAGGCAGCGTCCAGCAACCCAGCAGATAAAGCTCATTTCAGTTGCCTGTATCCGGGATCTTGTCCTTTGGGTCATGACCCACAGCTCACGACAGTAGGTGAGAGTAGGAACTTAGATCGACCGGTAAAACGAGAGCTTCGTCTTATAGCTCAGACTGGTACATTGACTCCTCCTTGAACTGGTGGAGGGGTTTGAGCACCAGAATGAGCTATGTTGTCAGGGGCTATATGCCCTCAGGAGGGTCTTCCAAGCAAAACCAATCCTAGGAGACGGTTCAGAAGCCCATTGTGAGACACAATCAATCAAGGGTCGAGAAGTCGGGGCTCGCATGCGAGCGCACCCGGTGGCCCAGTGCATTCTGTCAGTTGCAGTTCTGGCGCCTCAGTCTCAACATACTGTACAACACGACGTACATACACATGTAGCGTCGGATTTCCCAGGTCACTCGTACTGTGAACACAGCAATCCAGGAACAGCCACTGCTTTCAGATCAGCCACAAAGGGTGCCGGGTCCTGGATGACCTCGTTGAAGAGGATGTCCGTCAGCTCGGTCACATACTCTAAAACACAACGCATAGAGTTTGGGTCATTCATATGGTCTCAACGTACTATTAAAATAACTACGATAGAAATTGTGACCTCACTCAGGTGGTGCCAATGTATATGTTTGTATGGCGACACCAAAAGACAATTGAGAATGAACTAACCCGTAGAGTATTTGGTCTTCATCATGGACACATGTTCCCCTCTCTTGGCTTTGGGAATTTTAATGTTGAACTGCAGTTCTCCGGCTGCCGTCCTCGCTTGGGTACGGCCAGAGTTTTCATTGAAGTGCAATGCAGCCAGGTAAAGTCTGAAATGAGGACGTGTATGGGATTACACCAGCATTATGACACCATCATTTGTAAATGACAATATTGTTTTAAATAAAAAAAAATAATTAAAAAATCATTTGCACAAAGCAAGCCAATCCACTTTTCTATGCTGATTAAAACCACATCAAAATGTGTAATGCCTGTAGGATTCAGATTGAATGCTTTTTAATACATCCATTTAACCCTCAGGTGCTCTTCGTTTCGGAGTCACACTTGTTATCTTCCCGGTCAAAAGTGACCGGACACCTAAAAATGAAACTTTCTCCATTCCAGTAAAACCAATGCAATTTATTTTTTTTCTATAATATTTATTCTTTTTAATTTAGTATTTTGAGACAATTTAATTGAATTTATTAATATTTATGCAATATTTATGTTTTATTTTTGCCATGGAAAAATATCTCTCTCTCTCTCTCTATATATATATATTATTTTTTTCAAAAAATATTAATGCAGTATTTTAGTTTAATAAAGAGTCTAGGCCTTCAGAAAAAAAAAAAAAAAACATTTTGAAGAAAATTAGCACCATCTGGTTACAGTATAGAGAAAAAGCGTAGAATCATGGTGTAACCACTAGATGGCATGTACAGCTCTCTATCGAGAGGCATGTGAATTCCCCTGCTGTTTATTAACACATTTTTTTGTTGTTGGTGGATTTGAATATATAGTTGAAACAATCTCAAAAACTAAATTTTTATTAAAAAAAAATTGACAAAAAATAAAAATTCACAATTTTTCATTTTTTTACAATTTCCCATTCATTTCCTATGGGGGTCATTTTTGACCAAAGACCACGAGTGTGACTATTTTTTTACGACCACTTAGCATGCTCAGATCATGACCTCAATTTTTTTTGTGTGTTCACATACATAATGCCATAAAAGTCACCAAGTTTCGTAACATTCCGATGAAGCTGTGATTTTTAAAATTTCAAAACGAAGCGAAGAGTACCTGAGGGTTAATGACTTTTAATACCCGTGTAAACCCAGTTTAATCTGTTCACATACCAAAATAAAAGCTTCCGCTGCACATGTAGACAGTGATTTCTATACAATTTACCTGCAGAGCATCCCTAAGTATGAGAAGGCCACGTTTTTGGGTGCGAACCGCAGAATCTCACTGTGAAACGCCTCCAAGGCAGATGATTGGTGGACAGGGCTCAGCTTTTTCACATCACCAAGAACACGCTCGTTCATCAGCACCTTCTCCAGCTTGTAGATGGCCTTTGTTCCTAGAGGACGACGGAGAATAACCAACACATTAAATATGATGAGTGCATACTACAGGATCAGCGTATATAGCCCTTAATCCTGTAATTGTGGACAAATGTGGGCACAGCGGACTCAGGTGTGATCCTAATTTTTATTCATCATAAATGTTATATCGCTGTCTTCGATAAAGTTTTGTCTATCCATTTATGTTGTTTATTTTTATTTTAGGGGTATTTTTGAATTTATTTACTCCAAAAAGTACCATATTTTCTATGAAAATTATTTTAATATAAATGTAGTTTTATTTTTTTATTTTTTTTAACTACATTAAAATATCATTCCAATAAGTTCTTAGAGGTAAAACCTAAATTAAGTGACTTTGCTGTCACCTGGTGTCTAAAATAAGAATGCTCTAAATTACAGTTTTTTTCCATTCATTTCTATGGGTGCCCATTTTTGACCCAAATACAAGATTATGGAGTTTTTTTTTCACTCACTTAACATTGTAGAATTGAGTCAAAAAAAATGTGTGTGTTCAGGAGTCAAACTTAGGAAAAGTAGCCAAGTCTTGTACCGCTCAGATTATAAAAATAAATCAAAACTATTTTGCCCACATTTGTCCAGAATACGGTTTTAGGGATAAATGCTATTGGACAGTGGGCGTACCGGGCTTCAGCCACTTGTTTTTGCCAGTGGAGGGAGGGTGGAGGCACTTGGGGAAGAGCGGATGTTCATGGACGTGCACATTCTGGACGTGGTTGAGAAGAGACGTCCATTTGGCCACTGTTTCCTCTCCATCTGATGACCCGCATGCTGACCAGTAGAGGTGATTTCTGATGCTCTTTTTCCACATTTTGACCTTGTTGCAGTGTTTCTCCTTTGAAACGGCATCTATCTTCTTGTTGAGCGCTGAGAACAGTTTAAAAAGATGTGTTCAACAGTGATGCTAATGTTGATGCAACAAATAATCAAAATGATCCTACCTTTACATAAACGCCACGAATCATAAAAGTGGTCAACGTCGGGTTTCTGTTCCTGGAGGAACTTCTGCACCCGTGTGTGTCGGTCTGTCACCAGGGAAGATACTTTCACACCAGATTTTTCGAGAAATCCCAGACTCCGGATTAGCCCTTCCTTTTCCATACGGACACTGCTTCCCACTTCACTGCTCTGAGGATCATAAACAGACAGGGTCAAAATTGACCCAAAGGGCGGGATTCATATTTAAAAAAGATTTTTTTACTTGTTTTTTATAATATTTTTTCTTGTCTTTTTTGGTGTTTTGAGAAAATTTCAAAAATAAAAAAAAATTATAATTAGTATTAATGCAATAATTATGACCAAATTTTCCCCCATTGAATATAATAGAAAAAAATATTTAAAAAAAATTTTTTTTAAGCTGTATTTCATTTTGGAGTCAAGCCTAGGCTTCACAAAACCAATTTTTGAAATTAGATGGATGTGGACAAACTGAGCTTTTTAAAAATGCAGAACACTTATAATCTGAATTTTTTGGTGTTTTTGTATATAAAGATGTGTTTGTGTGTGTGGATGTGTCTGTTTTGCACTCTTGATGTTTTATAGATTCACCCATTCACTGTTGTGTGCTTTTTTTCAAGAGCGTTGCCGATTTGTAGATTGTACGCACAAAAAAACTCAGTATTTTCACATTTTTGCCAATTTCCCATTCATTTCCTATGCGGGCCATTTTTGACCCGAAGGTCCTGAGTGTGACTATTTTTTTTACGACCACTTAGACTTTTCAAATCCTGTCCCCAATTTTTTTGGGTGTTCATATACCAAGTACCAATAAAGTCACCAAGTTTCGGACCATTCCGATGAAGCTACGATTTTTAACTTTTTTTTTTATTTAAACGCTTCGGGTCATTATTGACTTCTAAAGCCTTTCTCAAAACGTTTCCCTGGCAAATTCGGCCTACATGTTTTTTTGTTTTTTTTATAATCCACGTACCTGTACGAGCTGGATATCCACAATTTTGTTAGTGCGGAGATCCATCATGGAGTACGAGCCGTACTTTGCGCACTGTCCTGGCCCGTCAGCTCTCATATCCCCCCCGAGAGACACAGTTCCTCTCTGTTTTAGTCGCTCAAGCAGGTCGCTCTGGTGTGATCTCCACTTACGCAGCACAGACGGCAGGATGAAGTTGCGCACATGATTTCGGTGTGTCGTTCTGCTGAAGGTTCTCACGCGCAGTGCGTTGAGCACCTGTGAAGCAAATCAGAAATAGCATGAACTACACCCCACTGTGCGATACACTGGCCTCAACTTTAGAAAATAAATGTCATTGTTTGTACGAACCTGGTTGGTCTGCATGAACGAGCCGCCGGTGTAGTAGACAGCGGCTGATAGGTGCAGATTTCCCGCCGGAGAGCTGCCCAGAAGAGGCTGACTCCTCCACTCTCGGCTGTATGAACAGCTCTGGCACTTCTGGGTCACAGACAGGAACGTCCCTTTCACAAATTTGATCACCTTGCAGACGCTCGAGCAGGTGGGGCAGGTCTTAAAAAGCTCAAGCAGACACTCCTCATATACCAAGTATTTCACCATGTCCTGTGGCGGCTTGGTTGGTGCTCTATTGACAAAGGAAAGAATATTTTTATTATTTTTTATAGATTGTTCCTATTAAGTTCGGTTAACAGATCTATCCACAAGTTTCCGAGGGGCGCTCCTGTAAAAAATAAAGTGGGTGAAACTTCCGGTGACGCGGAAGCTTTCCAATGGTATTTTGTGTGTTAGTTAGCGAAGAGGCTAGCTGTTTTTCGGAGAATTATTTTACTATTTAAAGACGCAAATCTTTGAGAGATGTCGTTACGGAGCTCAGGGACAACATGTGCTGCTCGCGGTTGCATGTATAACCGGACTAAACTAATTCAGTGGCTTAAACGTGATTGTTTTGAACATGAATACGAAATCAGAGTGATCCTGCCAACGACTGTAGTTTCCATCACCTTCCCAAAAGACGACGAATCTTCCTGTGTACATTTGTTTAAATTCTTAATATTCTATAAACTCTATCAGCATGTGATTGGCTGTTCGCTACTGATGTTACACCTAAACTCAAGATCAAAGCCTGTGTTGACAGAAAACCAATGTATTCAAGTAGCACACTCATTTATAATTTTGAATAAAGTCCAAAGCACAATGACTAAGTGTGTATTTTTTATTTTAATTGTTTGTCAGCTCGCACAACTGTCTGTCACCATGCCTTGATGAGTATTGATTACTTATAATTAGAGCCAGACCGATATATCGGCAGACCGATATTATCGGCCGATATTAGGCATTTTCCAAACTATCGGTATCGGCAGTTATAATGGCCAATAAGTGAATATTTCAAAAATAAAATAAAAATGGACGAAACACGCTTGAACCATGTCATGAGTGTTGGAGTTGTATAGTTTGTCCACCAGAGGGCACTCTACCCCAACACTCGTTGAGTTGGTCACGATGAATATCAATTAAAAGAACATCCCCATCAGTTCTCTTAACTCAAATAAGCAGGACAAAATTTGTGACTATCATGTCCAGTTTAAAAAAAAAATAAAAATGAATAAAATATCGGCCGATATATCGGAATATCGGATTTTAAAACCCAAAAATATTTGTATCGGTATCGGCCTTCAAAATCCTTTATCGGTCGGGCTCTACTTATAATGTTATTATAATACTCCCAATCAACTACTGCGGTGCTGTTATTCACCCTTTTTAATTTCGTTGAGGTTGTGTTCCCACATCGTTAGCTAGTTTGGATCGCTATAACTTGAATGACTGTCAACTGTTGAATGAACGAGTGTCAAGCATGTCAAGTCGCGCTTTGTTTACTTCAAACCGGAAGTCGCGCCCACTTTTGACGCAAGGCCTCATGGGGCGTAGGAAACTTGTGGATTAATAAAGTTAACTTACTGTTCACTAGTGGGGTCAACCAATTCAGACATGCTGGAGTCGTCAGGATCTGCCATGTCCTGAAAACCGGGAAACTCCAGGAGAGGGCGCTTTGATGGTCTATCAGGTGATCCTGCTTTCCGCTTCAGTGTAGTTGAAGAGCAGAGCGGAGGAAGCTGGGATGTGGTCATGGCCACCATAGCTTGAGAATCTGGAAAATATATAGAAATAAGGATAGTAATAAGAGTTTCAGCGCAAGCCATCTTTAAAATATTGTCTTTGAACTTCTGTTTTTGCGGTCGCTCTGTATATCTCTATGGCATTGCTGTTCAGGAGTAATTCGCTTTCGAAGTTGATTTACTTAATATAAAGTTAACGAAACTTATCATGAGGTTTGTAATGTTCAAAATAAAAGTCTTAAATGTCAATCGACTGGGATTTTAAAACGAGCGGTTCAATCATAAATAGGCAAGATCACTGTAAATATACAGACTGGAAGAGAAAAGACAACGAGCGCAGCGCTGAAAAGGGGCGGGGCTACAAAATGTCTATAGTGTTTATGATTGTAAGAGAAGTGGAGCTATGTTAAAACAGATTTAAAAAAAAAAAAATCACTGTCTTTGCAATATTTCACACAGGACACATTCATTAGAATATTACTGGAAGTAAAACATTTAACAATAAGTTTGCTGTCGGTATTCATTGGTGCGAAATAGCGGTTCAACGGATCACAAAACTTTTTTGAGCCACAAATCCAAACTTTTCAGATCAGCAAGAAACATTTATTTCATACTTAAAGCCCACTTTACTCTGATACAACACGAAAAACTACTAGCCTAGCTAAAAAAGTAATAGCAAGTAATAACAAATACATGAATTACAAGCGTATATAAACACAAAATAGTCTATCGAAGTTACAAATAAAGTAAGGTTTAACTATTCATTTCAGGTACAAAAATTTTATAATTAAATGTAAAAAAAAATGCCTTCAATTCGGAGTTTGCCGATTTCTGTGTGCGCACAGATCAAAACACGAGTCACGGGAATGGAATTAAATAATATTGTTCCTCTTTTAGCGATGTAATGGTTTAAAATCTATTGAAAGTGAAAACAAGCAAGACGAAACACGTGGAAATTTCAAAAAGACAAACTAGGCACTTGACCTCTCAGCATACCTGTGTTCCCTCTGTTGGCTAGTGTTGTTTCAGACAGGCGTGTGTCCAGTGTGATGTTCCACACACAGGGATCTGTCTGACATCCCACGTCTCGGGTGCCTTTCTGCGCGTCGTCACGCTGGTACTCGGTCTCTCGTTTGATTGGAAGGGGCTGCTTTGTGGACATATAATAATTGAAATTATTTGTCTAAGTAATCATATTGACGCATATATGACTCATTCCAGAAATGTGGGTACATTTAAAGTAGAGAAAAAAAAAATTTAAAATTGATTTTTTTTATTTTCATAGTATGCAGTTTAAATTCAATATTTTCAATGTTTGCTGATCTTAAACTTGTAAGATTTGAAATATTAAGATACCACATGGCATGTCTAAAATTAATTGTATGGGTTTTCGCCATATTATTGTTTTTTGAGAGATTCACTGCAAAATCACAATAATAGACTTGACAAATACTTAAATCTTCTATTATGATGAAAATTTTGTGCAAATTAATAAGAGAAGAGTAAATTCTAATAAAAACTATTGATATTCGCAATAGTGAGTGTCTGCTGACTTTTAAAAAGCGCCTTAAGACATATCTTTTTATACAGGCTTTTTTATAACATGTTTTAGAGTTATTTAACTGTACTTTAAATGTATGCTGTTTGATTATTGTGTGTTTTGATTTGTGTAGTGACCTGTATATTTCTTGTGAGGTGACCTTGGGTGTTCTGAAAGGCGCCATGAAATAAAATGCATTATTATTATTATTAAATAACATACTTCAGAGCTTTCCAGAATTTCCCACCAGAAAAAGAGACAAGTTTTATAACAGAGCTGACCAGAACGTAGGGACAGACACAAAATCTATTTTTTTATTAGTTAAAAAGTATGTTATATATTAAATAATATATATACTTTCTGTAATTTGCAGTTGTTTATATTACTTATAGTAAGTTAAACACACAAAAATTAGACTTAAAGGTATTTTAAGTAGGAATTATATATATATATATATATAAAAACTTTTTGCAAATTTGTTTAACTTTCTATATATATATATATATGTCAACGCATAATTAAAAATGTAAGTGCTCTGATAAAACGAGTACAAAAATCGAGTGACTCTAGACCGTTTAATCTGCACTAAAAACAGCTCATTATTTCCAACCGGGACGAAACAACGGATTGGCTTAGGCGACTGTCACTCTCTCGCAACCTTTTGCCACACAGGACCTGCCCACTTGCGCGTATCCAGATCATACCTGTTCACATGCCCTTGTTTGAGCTTGAGGATGCAGAACTCGATGCAGGTCCTCTTGTCCAAGAAGTGCTCCTTGCCCTGCACCTCGACCACCACTTCCTCGGACCCTAGTTGCACGGCCTCTTGCACGACCTCCTCTGCTTCGCCCTTGACCCCGGATCTGTCCTCGAGCTGATGATGCGGTACTTGTCTCTGGAGTGTAGTCCTCATCAGGGTCAACAATGCTTTTATCATGGAAACCCTAACATGCAGAACACCAAATATGTTATGAATCTTACACGAAATTCATCTTCATCACAGTGCAAGTTATGAAAAAATTATAATTTCTAAAAAAAAAATAAAAAAAAAATCTGAAAATTCTTTTTCAGAGTACTTACATTTTAATTATGCATTGATATATACAGAAAGTTTAAACAAATTTGGAAAAAGTTTTTTTTTTAAATAAAATTCCTACCTACAACACCTTTAATTGTTTCATGATAATTCAAGTTGAATGTATGAATCAAGAGGCAGAGACAATCAATAATAGGTCGAGTGGGATTACAATTTTTTAAAACAATCCTAAATACACTACCAGGCTGCAATTATTTGATAAAAAATACAAAAAAAAAAAAAAGAAAAACTGTAATATTGTGAAATATTATTACAATTTAAAACAGCGGTTTTATATAGTGAAGTGTAATTTATTCCTGTGATCAAAGCTGAATTTAGAGCATCATTACTCCAGTCTTCAGTGTCACATGATCCTACAGAAATTATTATAATATGCTGCTCAAGAAACATTTATGATTATTATCCATGTTGAAAACCGTTTTTTACATTTTTATTTCAGGATTCTCTGTTGTATATAGAAAGTTCAAAAGAACAGAATTGATCAGAAATGGAAAGCTTTTGTAACATTAATCACTACCATTCAAAAGTTTGGGTTCAGTAAGAATTTATTTTTTATTTTTGGGGGAAAGAAATTAGAAAATACTTTTATTCATCAAGAATAGTTAAAATTATGATCAAAAGTTACAGTAAAGACATTTATAATGTTAGAAAAGATAATATTTTAAAGAAATGCTGTTCTTTTGAACTTTATATTAATCATAGAATTTTGTGGGGAAAAAAGGTACACATTGAAAATAATAATTTATGTTTTTTGAGCATAAAATCAGCATATCAGAATGATTTCTGAAGGATCATGTGACACTGAAAACTGATGTGTAATCAGCAACAGATCTTGAAAATTCAGCTTTCAAATTACATTTTAAAATATATTAAAATAGAAAACAGTCATTTTAAATTGTCATAATATTTCACAATATTACTGTTTGACTTTTTTTCCATCAAATAAAGCAGCCTTGGTGAGCAGAAGAGACTTCATTTAAAAACATAAAAAATCTTACTGATCTAGAACTTTTGACTAATCGTGTATTTGGGGTTTTTTTAATTATTAATTTATATAAAATATTTTGTCCGCCAAAGAGACTTTATTTATGAATAGAGCATTATTTGTAGAGATAGTTTAATGTAATCTGTGTTATTCAGTCACTGTGGACCTACTATAATTAAAACATAACAGCAACTTACACTTTTTGGCGGGCTCGCACTGCCGATGATGGCTCCAGGTGTCGGCGCGGCGGGAGGACGAGGGCCGAGGCGGGAAATAGTCGGTTCGGCTCCGCTCGCCAGTAACAGCGGATTATCAGTGAATCCCAGTTGTCTCCGATGAAAGTTAATAAAACTATCCGGTGTAAAATGATCACTACAGAGGCGGGTGTTGGTGGTGATCTTCAGCTCTCCGTCAAGGTGTCTCTCCACAAAATGTATCCACTTCTTCTTGATTTGATCGTTTTTCGGAAATTTAAATAAAGACACTGATCTGTTTTCTATACGATCGCATCCAGGTAATATGCATTTCCGTGTCCAAGGCATAGCTAGCTAGCAAACTGTAGGCTGTTGAGAACAAAGACAAACTCGTCGCGATTGAGCGGCGAACTGAGGCGAATGTGCTCTAGTTAAATTGTTAGGGGCGGGGCCAGCCTCCGGGAGCTACAGTGCGTCATGAAGTAGGGGCGTTTTATCTCCGCCCCCCAAAAAAATCCTGAACACAACAATAATGCAAAACTGTTTAACCCAAAAATTAAGCACTTCACAGTTCACAGTCTTTGTAATATAATAATTTGTAAGTTATTGATCTGGGAAAATTCGAATTTGTTACAGAGCCTTTCCCTGTTGGTTACAGACACACACACACACACACACACACCTCATCTTACCTCGTTCCCTGCTGGGGCAATGTGGGTGCAAACACACGCAAACATCCACTTCATTTTCATCCCTGACAGAAATGCACGCTACTCATACCAACACACACATCTAAGTTGTGTTTTGTTTCTGTCGCTTTTTGCTTTGTTTGTTACATTAATAGTAGAGTCATGTGTTCAGTGTTTGTCAGCATTGCCGGGTCTTTCTCATGTTGTGTTTTCTCTATCGGCTGGCGAGACCCGAGCGCCTCCCTGTGGCCTGGATACGAGTGTGGCAGAGTCGGGAGACAATGAAAAAATATGAAAAAGTAATAAATATATGTGTTTTTCTCTCTTTATCATTCCAGATTATTTCTCTTTTTTTCTATCTCGTGTTGTTGTTCCCTTTAACTTGTTAACTAGTTTGAGGATATGTGATATCTGTCCTGTGAAGCATTTTTGTTTAATGCTGAAATCAGTGATTTGAATAATAAAAAAAACTATGACTATCTGTATTCTTTATTTTTTCCACTCATAGTATGACTTTTAAAGTCTTTGTGATTTGTTTAATATTTCTGCAATAGTATTTATTCGTTCATCATGGATGAATCAAATATGTTTTCTTTCTAACTCACTATAGCCTACATGGCAGATTATAAGAGTTACACTAAAATATGTGTATAAAAATATATTTTTTATACCATAAGAGATTTAATAAATGAAGATGACAAGAAGAAACACTATCTTGTGTCTGGTATCCAACTCTCAGGTAATAATATTAATAAAATGAAAACAATCTTTTTTTATGCAAATTAAATCCCTAGAGATAGATCAATATTTGAATGAATAAAAACATATATATATACAGTATATGAATGCTTTGAATGCTCTTCGAATAATTATTATAAGTTTAAAACAAATGAAAAAGAGTGCTCAATCTCTATCTAGGCAGACGAGGTTGTTTTCGAGCATTTTAGACAATTATGAAAAGCAAATAAAATTAACCTGTCTTTTCTTTAATTTTAATTGTCTTTCTTTAATTTTAATATAAAAAATAGATATATGGATTGGCATGTAGCCTATATGAGAAATTATATGACAGATAAAAACAGACAAAAAGAGAGTATTTACTGCGACTTCTGTATATCTATCATGTTAATGTGCTTATAGTGTAAACTTTTGGATTACTACTATAATGGATCTGGTTCAGTTCTCTCAGAGTTGAAGTTCCAGGTCTTGGAAGAATTCGTTTCATTGAACAATTCAACAAATATGCCAGGCCATCTGACTTGCAAGTTGAGCTCCAGTTGAAAATGTATTGTAATTTTCTAAGCATCGATCTATTGTAGCCTATCTATTGTTTTGTGATGCAAACTGCACCATTCAGTTTCAGTCTTCCCTGCACACATTTACACCTCTGTCGTCTTGTTACGACCCTAGCTATTCTTTTCTTTTGTCCTCATTGCAATTACTGTCGACTTTCTTTTCACACTGTTTTAATCCCTAATTTCTTTGATCAAACGTTCAAGCAAGTTTTTTGTCGAAAAAAGGTCGAGTTTAAAAAAACCTTTTGTTATTTGATGAAGAATTGATGTGGCTTCAGATCAAAAAAATCAAATAATCGTTGTGGAGTTCCTGTCAAACTTCAACACGTCAGAAAAACATACCCGGGGAAGAGAAAATTGATCGAGTCTTCACAACTTCGAGAAAAAAAATTTAAATTGTCATGGTCCAGTTGTTGATATGTAAAATGCTGTGGTGATGCTTGTCTGCAGCTGAATGTATCTAAGACCAAAGATAGGCTGAACACAATTTTCTATGATCCTCTGCTTATTCTGCCTATTTGGGCTTCAATTTGATGTGTTCCTTCACCTTTAGTAACTTGGGGCTCGTTCTTCGTACGTTGCTTAAAACATCCGAGATCAAATGAGACATCTAAGATGATATCATCGTGCTAATCATGATCCGGCTAATTGGGTTCTTCGAACACACCTGTTGTTTATGATTAGTATCGCTGGATTGAGTTATCTGAGATAACTGCGCGTTCTCGCGTTGGTTTAAAAGGGGACATGTATCGATAGCAGAACCAGTGATCAGCAGCGCCGCTATTGGCTGTTCAGCATGGCCAAAGAACACGCCCAGTTTTTCTCCCAAGCAGAGCAAGCGCTTTTAATGCAAGGTTATGCCGAATTTCAGTCTTTAATTAAAACGCCAGGGAACACCTCAAAGTGTGCAAAAGGCAGTAGAGAGTGCTGGCAAAAGTAGAAGACAAATTAAATGCGTTTGTGGTGGCCATAGATGTTTTAATAACTTATTATTATTTTATTTTTATTTTTATTTTCATAATTTCATAATTACTTTGTTCATTGTAATGTCGAGTCACCACACTATAATAATAAACATGGTGAAAGTGAAGTACAAAAATATTCTACTTAATGGTAATTTTAGGCCTTATAGGCCTACTAGTCTCTTTTAAAAAGGCACTGTTAAATAAATGATTGTCTGTTTATAAAAGCAAACAGGAAAAATGCTGAGAAAAAAATAATAATGATGCTCCTGACCCTGGCAGAAGAGCTGACCCTTGGGTTGAATGTGAATTGCCCTGTGAAGGGCATCCCTGGGTTCAGCTCTTCCAGACCCACATCAGGGACCAGTAGCAGCAACACCTTCATTACTGGGAAATGAGATTTAAATTATCTTTGTACACTGTGAAATAATTTGTTGCTGCATTAAATGATGTAGACCTATAATCCAAATTGGCTGGTTTAGTCATTTCAACTGTTAAATCTTGAGTAATGATAAATTGCTTTGTCTTGTGAAAGTAAAAACTGATAAACTTATGTTAATGTAAAAAATATTTTGCCATGAGTTATCAATCACATTGCACTGGAGAGTGAAGAAAACTTCTCAAATGACTGTCCTTTGGAGGAAGTACTTGGCTTTAATTGATTTATACTTGTGCCTATGCCTATTATTTCTGACAGGAGTCCACATGTACAGAAAGGCCTACAGAAGAGTCTGCACACAGCAGTGATACAGGGGTGGGCAGTGTAGACAACTTTTGCTTGTTATTTGTTGCATTTGTTCCCTATATGAGTCTTCAACAGAGTATTTTGAAAAAACAAAAATCAGGGGGAGAAACAGAACTTGACTAAGAAAAAATTGCACTAGAAATAGAGTTGCTTCAAAATAAACTTCAGAGTAAAATCACACAGAGTACTATTACTGACCTTAATATCTTTTAAAAAGATGACTGAATAACTGGCTTTTCTTTACAAAGAACTATTGAAATAAAACTCTAAGCAAACAGAGTTTTGCAAATTTGTCTTGTCTTTTATTTTAGGCTTAATTAAACATTTTTTTTTTTCTTTTTCTGATGTTGGCAGTGTTGTGTAATATGGCACATGCAATGTCACAGGCCCTGTCAGGTGCAACCCTCAGGGTTTTTAGACATTGAAATCTTCCCTTTAGTTGGCCAAAGTTCATGTCATTGTGTGCCCTTGTCCTAGAGCTGCATTGTAACTGGGGTTTGGGTCAGGGAATGGGGTCATAAAACACCTGTCTCCATGCAGGATCCTGTTGTAATCACCTGTATAATGGAAAAATGCAGTTCTCAGCATAAGTGTATGTAATACCGTGAGTTTGATATTTATAATTTTCCTTACCATGTTCAAATAATGTTCATAAATGTGAATCTCTTAAAATTCTTGAGTCATGCACAGATCCTGGCCATTTTGCTTTCACACTGATTTGTGATATAGAACATGGTCACACACCATCTAAAAGATTTTACTCAGTCAAATGCCTTTTAAAAAAAGTGATATAATATTCCAAATCTGGAATATTAAAAATTGTAATAGTAATTTGGCTGCACTGTATAAGCCCCCTTTCTGCTCACAAAATCCCTTCATTGAGGCCTTGATGGGAACATGTGTGTAGTCTACAGTGTATGGCACCAATCACGTAAGTTAAGCCTAAGGGACTGTAAGTCATAATCGGCATGGTCATCATGATTGCATTATCTTCATTAAAAATTATAATATAGCCTACCCTAAGTTGGCAAAAAAAAAAAAAAAGGCAAAAAAAAAAAAACAACAACTAAGAGCACTACTTTGTGAATGGCACGACAGAAAGCTTATCAAGTTCTCCGCATCTCCAATAGTGTAAAGGAAGCCACTCGCAAATAATTTTAGGGCAATGCAAACATTTTGTGCTGTTGTTGAAGCCCGATATCGAATCGAACATTAATGTGCATTTCCAACAAAATAATAATGTATTTAAACGACACCCTCACGACGATCGTTTCACGAGAAAACAAAAATAAATCTCAGAAATTAAGCTACACTATCGCGCTGCGCTGAAGGACTTCCCGTATCAGCCGCGATCTAATCCTGTTTACATGAAATAAGCCTGCTCGCGAGCAGGTTCAAGCTGACGGACCTGTTGCTATGACAGCAAGTCCAGGATGAGCGTCGAAGAACCAAACGATCCAAGATCATGGCAAATCGCCAACAATCAAATCCAGCTAACTGAGTTAGCGACGTACGAAGAACGAGCCCATGGAGTCACATTCGGTTGTAAAATAAAAATAATCCAAGGCTACTAGTAAATATGCGAATCTGCGGCCCTGATTGGTTGCGGGGGTGTCCCGTACGCGCGTGCGTTGGAGGGCGGTGACGTCACCGCTCACTCGCGCCGTCTCTCTTCCCTCATTGAGTTTCAGCGTCGAGTCTTCTGAGGTGAGGAGAGCCGTTCACGGTATTTCTCATATTTACACAACCACCACACACAAATACAGTTTGATTAAGCGACAGGCTCATTTCTGTATTGTTTTAATGGGGCAGCGATAAATGTGCGTCTTTTATGACGTCTTCCTGCTGAAATACACATTTAGTGCAGCAGCAGCGAGCCTGAGGAGAATATGTGGAGTTCATTCAGACCTGAGAGATTTTTTGTCATTTTGTGTGATTGTCTCGATGTTTGGAGGTCGAACTTTTACTTAACGTCAAGTTAAAAGTCAAAAGTTTGAGACCTGTGAGGGGAATTGATGGGAATCGATCTCAAGTTTTGTTGTTTTCATTTTCTTGTTTACCTTTATAATTATTTCTGTCTACATATACTTTACTACATTTCTTTTAGTTAAAATGTAGTATTGAGATATGACACTTTGTTAACAAACGTGGGCAATTTAAAATCTATTATTCTGAGTGTTTGCGGTAGAGTCAGAATACATGATAAAATATTAAACAGATCTATTGAAAGATAATGCTGTTATTTCTTGCATTAAAACATGGATATATCATCAATAACAGAACAAAATAAATTGACGCCTATCTTTATCAACCCCAAACATCATAATATGTCCAAATAAATCTAAATTGGACTTTTAACAACTATTAATTGCACTAAAGTAATTTGATCATAAACATACTACATATTTGTACTTACTGAAACAACAATCATAAAACTCAATCAAGAGTACCAGCAATATTTAACATTTCCTATATCAAATTTAATATTTATCTATATTCACATGTATGTCTGAGGCTCATGATCAATATTAACAGATCTGCTGAAAACACTCTTTATTTCGTGACAGTAGTTCCTGTTTTCACTTCATTTATTATGCTGATGTCTTCAGATCTCCTGTAAATAAAATTCATTTCATTGGTGTCAACAGACTATCGTGGACTAAGGTTATTATATACACATTTGTTTCTTTTTATGCTTTCAACTGGTTTTCTCGCCATTTATATTTTTAATAATTTACATTATTATATTCTGTTGTCCATAAAAACAAACTCAGACACTGATATATTTGTGATTTTGACAGATCAGCTAGCCTCCTTGCACTGCAATTCTCCAATAAAAGCTGGAATATTCCCATCATCTACAAGTGAAGACGAGCAGAAATGGATCAGGAAGAGCTGAAATTTGTAAAGACTGAGTTTATTAAAGAGGACAGTGAGAACATGAGTGATCCAGAACCCTGCAGAATTAAACACACTGAAGATACTGAGGAACAAAGTGGTTGGTGTTTATTCATTCATTCATTCATGGGGGTGTAAAAATATATCATGTCACAATACAAATATTTGACAATATGTATCGTGGATAGTTCACCCAAAATAACAACTACTATGTGATATTAAAATTCAAGGTTTCAGAAATACAGTGTCTACACTACGATACTACATTAAACTGTTATATATAATGTTGAATGGGGAATAGCCTATTTGTGGTCCTGATAATGCCAAATATCTTATGTTTCCAGTTACATTACATTATTTTAAAAATATCTAGTCAGTGAAATTATTCTGTTTTCAGCTTCAGAATCATGAATATTTTTATTCTGGTGTGTCACTATTTTCCTGTGCATTGGGTTTCCAGCACCATGTCCAAGCCTATTCGTTTACACCCACAATGTAATATCATATTTAGCATTTTAATAAACAGTACACTTTTTGTTAACCTTTTAACATATGTATTGGATTATTGCAATGATATTGAATGGTGAGTTCAGTATCGTGATATGTATTGGCATCCAAATAGGAGTATTGTTGTTAAGAACCCATTTTTAAAATGCTCGTTGGAAAAGGGTTAAAAACCACATAACGTCTGCCACAACGTTGTCAGATCCTCTTTTGTGATGGATCTCTAAATTATACGGCTGAACCATTAAAGCCCAACGCATCAGTTGTGGATTATGTTAATTACGTAGACTTCATATTTTTGCGTCGACACTTCTTTATTTATTTTTTTTGCACGTTTTCAGTGCACCACTAACTCCGCCTTCGTTTCCCTCCTCAGCTGATATTAGTATTTAAACATTCTCTATGATAAAAAAAAAACTGTTTGTAAAAAAATATTTTAATAACACGTTTTTGGAAGTTGTAGATTTATAATGACGGTGTTCAAATACACAACATTAGACTAAGGTTAGCCAGCTTATAGTATCATGATTCATCTACGCTACTATTTATTTTAGATACATTGTTTTTTTTATTAATCGAGCAGAAGAAAAATATTCTTTACATTAGTCGTTAGATTAGTCGAAAGCTTCAAGCACTTCATCACTTTTACTTAGATAAGCTAAAGCAGGAAAACAATCTTAAAATCCCTCTGTAGTCAATAATTGTATCCCTTACAACTCATCTTTGATCGTCAAAATTTGGGATTTTCAAAACTTTAAAAGTTCACCACACGGGGTCTTTAACAGCTGTGAAATAAAATAAACTAAGAAATGGGTTTTGACTTTCAATAAATGGTCAAAAAATGGAGGTTTGAAAATTCAAAATTTATTGTCAATATTACTTCAAACTAAATATTATTTTAGGTCTTTTATTTCATGTTTATAGTATATCTGGTTAACAATTATTTTGCAACCATTTGTTGACTGAAACTTATAGGACACACATAATGCTAAAGTGTGAAGATGTTATATCACTGTCTTCGATAAAGTTTTGTCTATCCATTTATGGTGTTTTTTTTATTTTTTTTTTAAATATTTTTTTATTTATTTACTTCAAAAAGTACCATATTTTCTATGTAAATTATGCTTATTTTTGTATTTTATTTTTTACATTTTTTAACTACATTAAAATATCATTCCAATAAGTTCTTAGAGCTAAAACTTAAAGTTGAAGTGACTTTGCCGTCACCTGGTGTCTTATTTTGGCTTATTTTAGAATGCTCTAAATTACAGTTTTTCCCATTCATTTCTACGGGTGCCCATTTTTGACCCAAATACAAGATTAAGGAGTTTTTTTTAACATTGTAGAATTGAGTAAAAAAAATTGTGTGTTCAGGAGGCAAACTTAGGAAAAGTAGCCAAGTCTTGTACCGCTCAGATCAAGGGAAGTATTTTTTAAAAATAAATCAAAACTATTTTGCCCACATTTGTCCAGAATATGGTTTTAGGGTTAAAAAGGTGGATAGAAAAATAAATTAAACCACAATCTAAACATTGGTGTCATAATTACAGCTCTAATGTATGTTTTGAAATGTTAGATGACTCTTGTCATTGATCGATTTATTTTTTCTTTAATTTCAGACGTAATGAAAGTGAAGGTGGAGAGCGAAGAACTGAGTGAAGTGGAAGAGAAATATCATGTCAATCTTGGACAAAAGCGTATAAATCATTCAAAGACAAAGACATTTTTAAAGAGAAGAAGAGCCAAGCAATCTTTCATCTGCAATCAGTGTGGGAAGAGTTTTATAAACACACGTAATCTTGAGATTCACATGAGAGTTCACACTGGAGAGAAGCCGTTTACGTGTGGCCAGTGCGGGAAGAGTTTCACACAGTTAACAAATTGTAATCAACACATGAAAATCCACACCGGAGAGAAGCCACACACATGTAATCAATGTGGAAAGAGTTTCACGCTGTTAAACACCCTTAAAGAACACTTAAAGATCCACACTGGAGAGAAGCCACATGCATGTGATCAGTGTGGAAAGAGTTTCACATACAAACACAGTCTTGAGACACACGTGAGAGTTCATACTGGAGAGAAGCCGTTTACATGTGATCAGTGCGGGAAGAGTTTCGCACAATCATCACAGCTTCAGAACCACATGAGAGTTCATACCGGAGAGAGGCCGTTCACGTGCGATTACTGTGGGAAGAGTTTCACACGATCAGGGAACCTTAAAGAACACATAAGGATCCACACCGGAGAAAAGCCGTTCGCATGTGATCAGTGCGGCAAAACATTCCTTGTGGCGACCACCTTAAAGAAACACCTGCGAGTTCACACGAAGGAGAAGCCACATTCATGTTTTGTGTGTGGAAAGAGTTTTTCACTGCTCTATAGTTTACGTTCACATCAGAAAATTCATACTCATGTAAAAGAACATGTGTGCATTGAGTGTGGGAAGAGTTATAATTTAGTGAATGAATTAAAACAGCACCAGAGAATTCACACTAGAGGAAAACATTACGAGTGTTCACACTGCGACAAGAGATTCAGTCAGTCATCATCTCTGAAAACACATCAGAGGATCCACACTGGAGAAAAACCTTACAAGTGTTCACACTGCGACAAGAGATTCACTCAGTCGGCAACTCTGAAAAAACATGAGCGGATCCACAGTAGAGAGAAGCCGCACACGTGCGATCAGTACGAAACGGGTTTCGCTTTTGAAAGTCAGCTGAACCCAGGGCTCGACAATAACGCTTGTCTGGACCAAGTGGATTTTTTAAAGGTGCAAGTGGAAGAATTTTACTTGGCCGACCCGACGAGTAGTCTGATTTAAGGCGAGACACGGCAGGCAAAAACATTGATTTTTTCATGCAGTTAGTTTACTCCTTCGATGTGTCCTTTCAAGATACTATAATAAAGAAAATGTTGAAAATATACATTAAGATGTTGTTGTTGTTGTTTTTTTTGCATTAAATTTCTCCCGAATTTACGAAGTTGTTAGACGAACGCGGCATGACGCGCTGGAATGCTGTTTACTGAAGTCTGTCATGAGAGGTATCGTTGGAAAGCTCTGAATCTCGTGCACAACGCTGTGTAACCTATGGGAATTTCTTTTCTATCAGTAACCAATCGTGAACGTCCAAAGGGTGATTTAAAGCTAATGACCAAATCTCATTGGTTTCTGCTAACGTGATTCGCTCGGACGCGTCACGTGGTGTACTCTGCTAATGTTAATTCATTGATTTACTGCAGTTATAGGCCTTATATATGCCTGTCATGTTATTAAATAATCATTTTCATGAGCTTGAAATATTATATATTATTAGTACTAAAGGCCTGAGCATTTATTCTGTTTTTGAGCATTTTTTTTTGCCCAATAGAAATGTATTAAATTCCCTACTTAAATCTTTAAATGCCTTTTTTGTCATTCTCCAGTACAAATATCTCAGCCTATGTTGCACCTACATACATCAAACTTTCCAGTTATATATTTACCAGTATTTTGAAGTTATTTTCAGAGGGATTTGTTAATAAATCATTCCTGGCCTGATTTATGTGATATTTTAATTAAAATCCTTCTGAACTTTTTTTTCCATCTTCTGTGTAAACAAAATGAACAAAATTAGGGATGCATCGATATGAAAATTTTGGCCGATACCGATAACTCTTTATTTGAAAGCCGATTGCAAATGAAAAAAATTAGGGATGCACCGATATGAAAATTTTGCCCGATACCGATAACCGATAATTCTTTATTTGAAAGCCGATTGCCGATATATTGGCCGATATATTTAAATCTAAATTTATCGAATTTTGAGAGCCGGATTACAAAAACAAAAGTCTCACAATTAAACTCATGTCCCAAGCACACAATTATAATGATGTTCTCATTATAGTGTTGTATAGCCGATATGACAGATTTGCGCTGCACATGTTGCAACGAACCGTATTTTCATTTTTTGAAGAGATTTTTGATCATATTTCAAGAAATTCAAAAACAAACAGTGCTCAACAAGTGTCTCAGCTGAAGGGAATAATACATTATTTATCGGCTTTAATATATCGGCCACATTTTCTTACCAGGCCGATAACGATAACATTAAAAATGAACGTATATCGGCCGATACTGATATGCTGGCCGATATATCGTGCATCCCTAGAAAAAAAAATAACTTTGCACCTGGCTTTATCATATGTTTATATCTATCTACCGAAAATATATGCAAAATTGTACATATTCAATGAGGTAATGATTAATTTGCATAATTAAAAATACAAATTTCAAAAACTTTATTATATTTGTGTTAAGTAATCAACTGAGGAAGTTTCATGGTAACATCTATTATTTTAAAAGTTTACCCTATTCACCTGTAGTGTCTCGCCTTAAATGTCAGTAACAAAAAGTCAAAACGAAAGAATGTTTTGATTGAAAGTGGCAATTGATAGTGGTGTAAGACTGGTGCCAAAAATGGCTGAACCCACTAGACCACACTCAACAACAACTCTTGCTGAAATCAACTTCTGAACACTTTCTAAAAGAAGATCACAAGACTGTGTGGAGACAGAAGAGCCTCGCACAACTATTGATTGCCCACATCGGTTTCAGTTCTCCCTAACCTTCTCATTGAGCATGTTTGGTATTATTTTAAAGGTACTTTTTTTCTCTTCTTGATATGGGGAAATAAAGTGCATTTTTTCTGAGGTATGTTTCATGGAGCCAGAATGTTAAGCTATTGAAATAAAATAATGTCAGTCATATCTGTCATTTGTTTGTTTGCTATAAAGTAAAAAAGCTGGGTTTGCATCAGTGTTGGGGAAGTTACTTTTAAAAAGTAGTGAATCTCGTTACCCGTTACCTCTTAAAAAAGTAATCCGTTACTTAGTTACGTCATATGGAAAGTAACTTTTTACCTTACTTTTATGTTGCTTGAATTTGGGCAGAACTCAATTATCTGGTCCTAAATGTGTAGGCCTACATAAAGTTCTACTATGCATAATTCAATATATAGTGCCATAAATGCATAACGCATTTATCGGGTGGTGCGCCGACCCGGCTGACCATTTAAAATATAGACTCAAACACTCACGGGTCCTCGGTGTAGACCTCTAGTGTGAATGAAACATCAAACTGACAAGAACAAACTCTTTGAAATGCCTATATGATACTGGATATCAAGGTTGAAACTGTTAATGTAGACAGACAGCAATCTCATTCAATCTTAGTCATGTATGCATTGAAATATGACTTAGGCATTTAAAAGCTCTATAAAGAAATGTAAAAAACAGAAAGGTTCACCACTTTCAGAACTAAAATTATTCCCGACTCAAACAGAATCAGCAGAAAATAAAAACGGACAACAACAAGAGGTGTTGATATAGATTGAGTTTAATCAATCCCATACATGAAGCGAATACATTAAGTAAAAGTGAAATTGAATGAGGATCTCTCTCTTTACTGACTTATAGGAGCCAAAGCATCTTAAGAGAAGTGTCCAGTTTCAAAGATAAAGGAAAGCATATCTTGCGTTTGCATGGACGAGTAGAAATGGAAGAGAAACTAGATGTTTTGATGAAAAACAATTAAGAACCAGGAAAAAAATTATATCAGATTCATTCTCTTAAAGCTAAGGTATACGATTTCAAAGATTGTTCATTATTAATATCCTCGTTTAGATGCTGGTTATGGTTATATAGTACAATCTTAACAATATGAATATAAAAAAGAAGGAAAAAAATCCATTCACTCTATTGGCTGTACAGCCGCAGAAAAGTTGACCAATGTAAGCTGTGCGGCCGCACAGCTTATATTGGTAAACTGCTCTCATCCAATCACCAGCTCCACTTGAAACTCTGCCTGGCGCTCGCGTCTCCAACCCAACCGCACCCGCCGTGCGCGAGCAAACAGCTGACAGACTGTCTATGGTAGCTAGCTAGTAGCGTCAGATCAGCAATGGATAAAGCAATGGATAAAAATATAAACGACAACAGCAAGCGGCCCCTGCTTGCCTCTACTGTAAAGTTTGGACGCAAGAGAAAGTCTGTGGAGGAAAGATCAGAGATTAAAAAGAAATGTGAAGAACGCCGGACTCTAAAGCCCCGTTCACACCGCCAGCGGCACGCAGCGACAAAGCGACAGGATCCCATTCATTTCAATGGAGCGCTGGCGACATCCGGCGACACGAGCGACAGTGACCGTTGGCGACAGAATGTGGGCGTGTCAAGCGACAAGAGACAACAAGTGACAAAAGTTGAGAATTTTCAACTTTATGCAAATGAGAAGCGATTTTCGCGAGCGACAACCAATAGGAAAGAAGACTTTCAGTGAAGCTCATGTCACCGTCTCGAGTGCAGGGCAGGCAAGACAGAAAGAAAGAGTTTGAGTACGATTTCACTGTTTTATATGATTTGACTGTAACCACATACATGGATAATAAAATGATGCATGGAAAAGAAACTGTCGACAGTCTCAGTGAGTTTAATTCATACATTTAACGTTATAGTTCGAGTGTTGTAATTTTATGATGCACGTTTAGCACTGCTGCAGTTCATTTTACAATTTCCCCTGCATTACGTTGACTATTAGGGACAAGAAAATTGATTATCTGTCAAATTCGAATGACGTTTTTATAATTTGTGACACAGTATGAGTAAGTTTAATTTGTTCATTGATCGATCGTTGATCTAGTAAATGATTTAATCCACTGAACACAGCTGTGGAGATATAAAAACACTCTCCCAACAGCATATGGTTTCTTTTTAGCCTTAAAAGTCATTTATTCCCAGTCAAATTAAAATTATATATCACTTGTGATGGTCTTTTATATGGGCAGACGTGCGGTCTACCAATAACACAAGAGCGACAGCACTACGAACGCCCACAAGCGACATCACAGTACAGAGCCTAGCGACACACAGCGACAAAATCGCTGGCGGTGTGAACGGGGCTTTAGTAGGATAAATATAGCGTCCTTCATTGACCGTTGGAGAAAGCGTCAGGGAGATCTGGGGCTGAAAACGACGCTGACACGGATGACTTTTTGTTGAGCAGGTAAATATTTATTTATTCTTTTATGGTGTGACGTGTTACGTGGCTTTTTATCAGTTTGACAACTTGCTCATGCTGCCGGTCGGCATTGGAATGTTAGCCGTTTAGCATCGCCGATCGCGGTTCAAAGTAATTATATTTCTTGTTCGAGGTTTCTGTTCGAGCCGATCGGAATTTGAACAAGATGCGCTGCGTGCTGCAATAACAATCACTGAAAACCTTAGCAATACTAGTAGTATTATAATGGTGGTGGGGAGTTTAGAACATTTCATGTGTTGCTAATCTTGCGTTGACGTGAACTCAAACGTGACATACGTCAGGGATCAGGTCGCACAGAGGGGAGGGGGGTGTGTGTGGAGGGGGCGGGATGAGTTTTTTAAAACTTCCCTACCGTCTCGACCGATTTTTAACATCGTATACAATAGCTTTAAAAGTGTTATGGCCTCTTCTTCAGTGTGAATTTTCTGGTGCGCATCTTCTGTAGAAAAGGACTTCCTGCACTGAAACACACACCCCAGTGTCTTTTACCTGTAATATTCACCTTTGAGTGACTTCAGGACTGATGCCCAATGAAACTGTTTACGACACTGATCACAGTTAAATGCTCTTTCTCCAGAATGAGAAGCAGAAGTGATTTCTGAGCTGCTTCTTCCCAGTCTTCAGACTTGATTTACAAGCGAAGTGGTGACAGATTTACAGATTTTTTGGCTTCTTTTTTTCCTGTCTTGTTCACGTCCTTCATGTCTAAAAGAAACATTAAATCGAGAGAGATTTCAAATTAGAGTCAAATGTGAAATGACAAGTGAATTTAATTCCAGTTGCCATTTTACAACATTGGACGTTTTCAAACCAATTTCCCCCAAGTGCACCGACGGGTGAGTCGAAACTCATTATAATATGCAAAACTGTTCTCCACTCACAGCAATGGGCGTTTACTTCTAAGTCTTCAGTGCGAGACGCCCATAAAAACCAAGCGTTTTTCAGCTAGGCTCAAAACTTAGGCAACAATATAATAAAATTTAAAAAGCCAATTCATGACCCCTTTAACTATTATGGATGGGTTGGCTGTAAAACTGAATTGCCCCTTGGGGGACTAATAAAGGTATCTGAATCTGACCCGACATGTGATCTTTAGGAAATCACAGTTTCACTGATTCTCCAGAATTTAACACGATGCATTACAAGCCAGGGGTGAAAACTTTTCAACAATCAAGCAACGGAAGATACGCGCATGTTTCCCAGGAGACAAATTAAGTCAAATTTAACTATCTTCAAAATCAAAAAGTTTTACAGGGGAAAAACTGAATAACTTCAAGTTATCAGAACTTTTGGTATCATTTTTTTTATTTATTTGCATGTGCTTATATAACAGTTGAACTTCCTATTGCTATGGCCACTTTTGTACACACAATGTACACACAAAACACAATTTTCTCCAAGCAGCTATTTTAGATGGAAATATTCACAATTTTATATTTAAATTATTGTTGTTATTCTTTGTTTTACATGCTCTGAACTGCACCAAAATGCCTTGCATTTGTCTGGCACTTTTTCCACTGTACATGTCTGTAATAAAAATAAAAAAAAATATCAAGGGGACCTAAACCTTAGAACTTTTGTAAATGCAGATATTTTTTGTCTTGCAGACTTTATGTAAACATCTTTTATTTAAAATATCTTGTTCAGGACAGTACTACTAAAAAAAAACACGCATTTTGTATGATCTGCCTATATGTTATCGCCACAGACCAATAATAGTTCCAAGGTGTTTACCAGCCAGAGCGAACTTTTCCAAATATTTCGCTTCGGCAAGCAGCTTCAAACTCCCAAAACAATTTCAAAACCAACTTTGTTTTGGCCTGATATTTTTGAAATGTCACATCAGTTCATTCTTAGGTTTTGTTTGAAGTATATCAGAGCCTTTCCATTGTTTCGACCTGAACTGAATCAACACCAAACTGACTTTAGAGGAACAATGACACTATCTGACAGGAACTTAACTGAGCCGAACTTTGACGGCACTGTTTTCTGCAGAGCTGCTTTATAGCTGAACTGAACTAATATAATAATTGTACAATAATAATCTTTCCCATGGAACTGATCTGACTTCGGCTGACCAATGACACCATTTTCTTTTTAGAGCTGCTCTAAACATGCATGTTTACGGTAAGTTGGTCAAAAAAGTTGAAATATTCTTTGAGGGGAAACAGCATTTATTTATTATCAGGTGAATATTCAGGAGAATGAAGTCTCATAGGACTCCACGGTTTCTATTCTAGTCTCAAATATATATATATATATATATATATGATGTCAAAAATCTAAAAAGTTATAGAAAAAAATAATCAAATGACCATTGTTTTTTGTGTGTGCTTTAATTTGTCATACTCAACCTGAAGCAATGTTTATCTAATAGTGCTGTCAAAAAATTAAACTATTTAATCACGTTTAATTGCATTAATGTCACAGTTAACTCACGATTAATCGCAATTAATGGCACAGTTAACTCACGATTAATCACAATGTCGCAGTTAACTCACGATTAATCACAATTAATGGCACAGTTAACTCACGATTAATCACAATTATTGTCAGTTAACTCATGATTAATCGCATTAATGTCACAGTTAACTCACGATTAATCACAATTAATGTCACAGTCAACTCACGATTAATCGCATTAATGCCACAGTCAACTCACGATTAATCGTATTAATGTCACAGTTAACTCACGATTAATCGCATTAATGTCAGTTAACTCACGATTAATCGCATTAATGCCACAGTTAACTCACGATTAATCGCATTGTCAGTTAACTCACGATTAATCGCATTAATGCCACAGTAAACTCACGATTAATCGCATTAATGCCACAGTCAACTCACGATTAATCGCATTGTCAGTTAACTCACGATTAATCGCATTAATGCCACAGTTAACTCACGATTAATCGCATTAATGCCACAGTTAACTCACGATTAATCGCATTAATGCCACAGTTAACTCACGATTAATCGCATTAAATGCCACAGTTAACTCACGATCAATTGCATTAATGCCACAGTTAACTCACGATCAATTGCATTAATGTCACAGTTAACTCACGATTAATCGCATTAATGTCACAGTTAACTCACGATTAATCGCATTAATGCCACAGTTAACTCACGATTAATCGCATTAATGTCACAGTTAACTCACGATTAATCGCATTAATGTCACAGTTAACTCACGATTAATCGCATTAATGTCACAGTTAACTCACGATTAATCACATTAATGTCACAGTTAACTCACGATTAATCGCAATTAATCACAATTTTTTTATCCATTCTAAATGTCTCTTGATTTCTTTTTGCCCCATTATTTTTATCATTTTAATGCTCTTATCAACATGGAAAAGTGGATCGGCTTCCTTTGTGCAAATGTTTTTTTTAATCTCTCACACAATGCAACACTGTCCATCAATAAAAGGGTGAAAGAAATACTGACGAGGTCCTGATATTGACAAGGGGCGGAGAATTCGTATCAGCTGTACGTGTGTGTGCTTGGCCATCATGAAGTGGTGTTCAGACTGGACGTGCTGCGATGATGATAGCTCAGTTCACAACGACAAAACACACAGATCACTTTGGTCTTGTCAATGGAAACATTTGGCAACTTTTTACAAGTAAAGTTTCCATTCAGAATCTTATTGGCATCCATTTCGGCGTCTCGCGTTCGTCGTCCACTCAAAAAAGGTTAACCAACTATTTGGCCGGTTCGCAAGCCCAAATGAGTGTGTGCGGCGTGCCTGTTGTTTTGTTTACGGTCTAGCTAGATCCGGTTGTGCTTTGGTCGACGAAGCAACAAAACGTCCTCGCGCAGCACAAACCATTGAACTGAATGTGTTTCATAGCGCCGCGCATGCCGTGTCCTGTTGCAAAAGCACTTGGAAAAAAAAAAACTACAAAGTTTACTAGGCCAAAAAGGCTGTTAATCGCACGATAAAAAAATTGACACCGTTAATGTTCTCCAGCATAATGAATGAATGAAGAATCAAGGATGAACACCAACCTCTTAGTTCTTCAGTATTATGGTATCACTGGCGTTCTCTCGGTCCTCTTCTACCAGATGCTTTCTGGCACAAACAAACAAAGTTTCATTCCAACAGACATGATGCTAGAGAGAACTTTAAAAATGGTCAAATAATACAACGTTTATATGTAGTATACATATTTATATTTTGTAATGGATTTGTTTACAGTGATAAAGTAGACAAATGATGTGAGATTAGGGCTCCACGATTTATTGAAATTATCAAAGTGAATAGTCAAAGTTTTGGATCAACACATATAGCAGAAAATAGAACGGGCATGCGACCATCTCGTGTGTTTTCAGATTTGCTGAACGACTGAATCTCTCGTCGCACTGTGAACACCTTGTATTTTTTTTTAATGATTTAAAATTGTGTCGATTTTTTGGGGCATATGCAAGCAAAATGGTCGCACTGTAGAGCCCTGGTTTTGAACAAGGTCCTGCCGCCAGTGTGTGTACACTCATAGAGAATAATGTGTTCGAATTTTAAAGACATGGCGCTTGCGCTTCCCCCTTAAGACAGAGAGCATCATGATTGGCCGGTTTTGTCTTTAAAAACAAATAAATGTCAAAATCGAGAATCAAATCGTCACCTTAGAGTCGAAAATGTAATCGAATCGAGGATTTGGAGAATCGTGACACCCCTAGTATTTATCCTATTGTTTGTAGTAAAAAAATAACTAATAACTTAAAAAAAGTTGATATAACTAGGCTATATATTACCAATTTGACCAAAGAGTTGACGGTATTTAAATAGTTTATGTTGTACATATTACGTTGTCAAATTTGTGACATTACGTCATGTTGGAACAGGAAGGGGGCCGCCATACGCAAACTGTTCCCACAAACTTGGGAGAATGTAATTGTTCAAAATGTCTTGGAATGCTGAAGTTCCTTTCACTGGAACTTGGGAAGGACCCAACCCCTGAAAAACAACCCCACACCATAATCCCCCCTCCACCAGACTGAACACTTGGATTCGTCACTCCAGAGAAGTCCAGTGGCGGCTGCTTTACACCACTGCATCCTACGCTTTGTATTGCACTTGGTGTTGTAAGGCTTGGATGGAGGTGCTCGTCCATGGAAACCCATTCCCTGAAGCGCTCTACGCACTGTTCTTTAGCTAATCTGATGGCCACACATAGTTTGGAGGTCTGTATCTGTTGACTTTGCAGAAAGTTGCCGACTTCTGCGCACTGTGAGCCTCAGCATGCGCTGACCCGCTCTGTGAGTTTATGTGGCCTAACACTTCAACTGAGTTGCTGGTGTCCCCAATCGCTCACATCTTCTTATAATACCACTAACAGTTGACCGTGGAATATTTAGTAGTGAAGAAATTTCACGAATGGATTTATTGCACAGGTGGCGACCTATATGTAGCTCTACGCTGGAATTCACTGAGATATCCCTTTTCCACCAAAAAAGAACTGGTCCGGAACTGGAGCTGGTTCAACTTGCGAACCCCTTCAGAACCTGTTTGTTTTTCCACCTACTAGAGCGCCCAGGAAACGACGTCCCTACGTCACTGTGTACGTCGCCATACGTCTTAGCTAGAAACGCTTGCAAGTACAACATTACTTTGGGATTATCTCCAACTCGTGTACCAAGAAGGCTTTAAAAACAATTGAAATGTGTAAGTCTTTTAATCTTTTCCTTTGATATGTAATCTTTTCTGATTAGCTATGTACCCCTGTCTTTCTTTTTTCTATTTATTTGTTCTATATATTGTGACAGTTTTCTTCTTTGCTTATAATGTTTTAAAAAAAAAATAGAAACGCTCGCGCCAACTTCAAGCATAACAATTACAAAGGCGGACTCTATTGTGTTTCTGCAAATGTTTCTCCTGGCTTTGCGATCCTGTATAGAGTGCCGAAGTTACGACGTCACTCTGTAGGCCAAAACGTGAAAGTGAGTTAGCATTTTAGCACTCACGGTTCCCTCGCTATGGGATTTTTGAATGGTTTTTGCTAAATCGCCTGAAATAAGGTCTGTGGTGAACAAAGCCTCTAAATATTTTCACGTTTTGATCTATGACATAGAACACACAGTTATAACCTGCTTGTGGTTTTTTAAACTTTATTGTGTCCGATTGGGTTTTTTAAAATCTTTATATAGGCTTCAAAATGTATAAATTTTGGATTAACTTGTAAAGATTATCTTGATAGACAAAACGTGTAAGGGTCACTTCTCTTTGTTAAACACAGATGTTATTTTTTGCGATTTTCCAAAAGTCTATGGGGAAAATGCATTGCTTTTCTACCGAGGGAACCCATGCGCCGCTAGCTTCCACGTTGTCCTACAAAGTGACGTCATCACTTCAGCACTCTATTATGGTCAGAAAAGATGTTTAAAACACATCTAAACCCGCCCCAGCCCCCGACGTAAGCATGACGTGGTAAAAGAACGGTTCTAGTCCAGGAAAGAGTTGGTGCCGCTTTGGAACCAGTTTTCCCGTCCGAGAACCGGTTCTTTGGCTGTCGAAAAAACACAAAGAACTGGTTCGCGCGCAGGCACCGGCTCCAAACCGGCTCTCAAAATGCTTTGGTGGAAAAGGGGTAAGAGGGACCCATTCTTTCACAAATGTTTGTAGGAGAGTCTACATGCCTAATGCTTGATTTTATACGACTGTGGCCATAGAAGTTAGTGGAACAACTGAATTCAATGATTTGGAGGGACAGAACAGACTGTGTTTTTCAACACAAAGATGAACTACTCACTGCGATTTCAGACTGTGATTGTTTTTCTTATGAGTCAATAAAGATAACTGAACAAACCTCTGCATGGATCATCTTCATGTGCAGGTTCAGGGGACTTTTAAAAGAGAAACTCTTCCCACACTGATCACAAGTGTGTGACTTCTCTCCAGTGTGGATCCTCTCATGTGTTCTCAGAGCTGATGAATCACTGAATCTCTTGTCACAGTTTGAACACTTGTAAGGTTTTTCTCCAGTGTGGATCCTCTCATGTGTTTTCAGAGATGATGACAGACTGAATCTCTTGTCACAGTGTGAACACTTGTAAGGTTTTTCTCCGGTGTGGATCCTCTCGTGCAGTTTTAAACTGCTTTCTGTAATAAAAGTCTTCTCACACTCAAAGCACATGAACTCTCTCACACCAGTATGAATTCTTTGATGTAATTGTAAATTATGCAGCAGTGAAAATCTCTTTCCACATTCAGAACATGAATGCGGCTTCTCCTCCGAATGAACCATCAGGTGTGCCTTCAGGTTTGATGCCCTGAGAAATGCTTTTCCACACTGATCACATGCGAATGATTTCTCTCCGGTGTGGATCCTCATGTGAACATCAAGGTGTCCTGATTGTGCAAAACTCTTCCCACATTGATCACATGTGTGAGGTTTCTCTCCAGTGTGGATCATCATGTGTCGACTAAGATTTCCTTTTAGTGTGAAACTCTTCCCGCACTGATCACATGTGTGAGGCTTCTCTCCAGTATGAACTCTCACGTGCTGCTGAAGACTACCTTTGTTTTTGAAACTCTTCCCACACTGATCACATGTGTGAGGCTTTTCTCCAGTGTGGATCATCATGTGTCGGCTAAGATGAGGTTGTGCTGTGAAACTCTTCCCACACTGATCACATGAGAACGGCTTCTCTCCAGTGTGGATCATCATGTGAATTTCTAGACTATCTTTCCTTGTGTAACTTTTCCCGCACTGATCACATGTGAACGGCTTCTCTCCAGTATGAACTCTCATGTGACGCTCAAGATTACGTGTGTTTAAGAAACTCTTTCCACACTGAGTGCACATTAAGCATTTCTTGGCTCTTCTTTTCTTGGTAAATATCTTTTTAGTCTTTGAGCGACTCAAAGGTTTTTCTGCAGGTTTGACATGATGTTTCTCCTTCACTTCACTCAGTTCTTCTCTCTCCTCCTTCACTTCACTCAGGACTGAAATGAAAGAAAATGTTTTAATTTTAAGCATATCTAAATAATTAAAAGAGAAAAATTTAAAGTGAAAGGACAGTCTGTTTCATAGTATTTTTGCACATACCTTCATGAAACATTCACAGATCATAGAAAATGGCGCATCATTATTTACAGCAGATTCTCCCGATTAAAAAAGTTTCAAAATGCCCATTAGGGATGTCAAGGGCTAAACATAAATGCTTCCTTCGTTCCAAATGCTGTATCTTTTATGATATCACCACAAAGTTTAATCTGGACGCAGTTCGCATGTAGGGGAACTTCACCAAAAAAGAAAAAAAAGAAATGTCTTCCCTCTTTGTTTCCTTCGTAAGATATTGCATGTCAAATAATAGTGGTTACACCACTTGACATTTAAGAGTAAAAACAAATTTGACAAGCATTATCATGGACACCTATGTAATCATGTGGCCTTGGTGATAACATTTAAAATGTATTTTTTAAAGTTAACAATCATTTTCATTATGATGATGAATTATCAATGTATTACAGGGTCGTACCATTTGACATACTTAAGAACACCTGACCATACCCTAAATTGTCAAATTATCTCACATTTTAAAATGACATTTGCATGCAGCATTTTGTTTCACCAGGGGTCCGTGTCTCTGTGATATAATTTCGCATGGTCTTCTTACATAATATTAACAAAAGGACACCTTGAATGGTGGTTACACCAACTTGACACTTCAGGGATTTTACTTGACACACACATGATTCTCCAAATGAATTATAATATTCAGAACAATGGTGTTTCCGTTATACTTTTATTTACTAATAAATAGTTCTAATGTAAGATTATGCCACTTATATGTTGTTTTATATTTAGAATTTCACCTATTTTAATGAAGATCAATTATTTGGTACAAAGTTTTGCAATCTTTCCCCAAATTTTCTATCAAAATAAATTAAATGAAAATAGACGTGGTCCTCAAAAAAAAAAAAAAGAGTATGTTTTCAAGTAATTTTCTATTTTATTTTAAAATTTTAACCCTTTTAAATGTAATTAAACCATTTGGACAAAAAATAATAATCTATAAGAGAGAGATAAATTGTGTCAAAGATTTTGGTAACATGGCTGCGAAAAATGTGAACCAGATATATGTAAAATAAAAGAGGTATAATAATATTTAGTTTGACCTGATGTTGAAAATCAATATGGACCTTTTTCAAACTTTGCTTTAATGACCATTTTTAAAAATCCAATGTTTTACTGTTTATCTAAATCTGATGAAGTTCTTGAATATTTCTAACATGAATGTTGTCCAGCATCACGAATGAATGAAGAATAAACACCAACCTCTTTGTTCTTCAAGATCTTCAGTGTGTTTCATTCTGCAGGGTTCTGGATCACTCATGTTCTCACTGTCCTCTTTAATAAACTCAGCATTTGCAGATTTCAGCTCTTCCTGATGCTCTGATGATCGTGATCTTCACTTGTAAAATATTTGAAGGGAATATTTTTAGAATTTATTGGAGAATTGCAGTGGGAGGGGCTTCACTGATGACGATTACAGTGTGGGAGGAGCTGATCTAGCAAAATAAAATAAAAAATAGTTACCAGTTTGTTTTTATGCTCATGAACAAAAGAATAAACACTGTAAAATCTTCCATTAAAAAGAGTTTAAGCATATTCAGAAGTAAATCTACAGATTTGTCCCCAACAAATACAGAAAATCTGAAGACATCAGCATAATAAATGAGGTGAAAACAGGAACTATTGTCGTGAAATAAAGTGTTTTCAGCAGATCTGTTAATATTGATGATCCTCAGACAATCAACACTCATTCAACAAGCCATTCAGGATCATCTCACTTTATTCTGAGTGTTTGCTGTTAGAAACACATTATTTGAGCCAGGATAAATGACTATAAAACTATATTGAACTATACTGGAAGTCAACTAGGATATTAATAGACAACACTGTATTTTCTCACAATACACATATAAAACATCAACAATGCAAAGAAAAACTTTTTTGACACAACTACCCAACTACACCCTAATATGTCCACCTTTATCTAAATATAGTTTGACATTTTAATAACTTCATTCATTGCAATAATGTAATTAGATCATAAGAGTTTTCAGAAACTGACAATGATCAAAATTAAAATAAAGAGCACAAAACAATATTGTTTATATGCTATTTCAAACTGTATTCATATTTATATTAGCATTTATGTGTAGGTTTACAATGATTAACGTGGCTCACTATTGTCTCAATGTATTATTTACAAAGTATTTATCAGTATCTGTTCAAGTATTAACAAATTTGATCTGCCAAATATGTGAAAATAGACACATTTAGTGCAGCAGCAGCGAGCCTGAGGAGAATATGTGGAGTTCATTCAGACCTGAGCGAGTGTGTGTTCGTTTGAGTGATTGTCTCGATGTTTGGAGTGAGAATTACTGAATGTCTAGTCAAAAGTCAAAGTTTGAGATCGGTGAGGGGAATAGATGTGTAAATATTGGTGCTTTTCCATTGTATGGTAAAGTACGGCATGAGGAGCGGATAAACTTTAACGATCCGTCTACCCCACTCACTATGAGGCGGTACTAACGTTAACTGCCGTGGGAAAACACATATTGAGCTAAAGTGAACCGAGCCGAGTGAGTCGTAGTCTACCACGCAGAGGAAAAGCGAAGCGAGCCGAAGAACCGTACTGAGCCGCATCATGCAGTTAAAAAGAGAAAGTAAAGAGAAATACCAAAAACTGCTCTCCTCACCTCAGACTCGACGCTGAAACTCTGAAAGTGTGATTGCGTCACAGCGGCGCGAGGGTTGTCCAAACTTCGAGATGGTGCTCGATGCAGAGCCAAATGGGAGGAGCTAGAGCTCAAGCTCCCCCTTTTCTGGAGCTCCAGCTCCACCTCGCTAAATTTAGTGGGCGGGGCTTCGCTGCAGCTTCCAATGGGAAGAGATAGAGCTCTAGCTCACCCTCGCTGGAACTAGTGGACAGAACATAACGCGCTATCAAGCCTGTTAATGTTAGTGCGAGTTTCACCCGTGATGAAAGGACAAGTTTGTTTTGATGCGCAAGGTGCTGGCAAACATAGCCTAATATTATATTTTACTCTAAGATTTGTCATGATTATGATAAATTATACAATGATTTATCGTTTCTGTGACAAACGCGTAAACACTTAGAACATTGCTCACACTATCTGTGCGTGTTTCTAAAAACTGTTGAAAACTTTGTATCTATGTATTCTTTTCTCTTAATTACGATGAACAGTTTCGTTGTTTTCCTCACTTTTAAAGCCGCTTTGGACAAAAGCGTCTGCTATATGATTATGTAAATTACTAGACAAAGGCAATGTGTGCACGTTTATTTTGTCCACCGCAGTAACGCGAGTTATTTGTTGTAAATTAATCTAAAAAAAGATTGTGTAAATAAATCATCTGATTAATTCATTAAATAAAAAATAAGACCAGGTTACCTAATCTGCCCTTTTTGTACGTTAATGTAAAAGCATAAGCTACTCCAATAGGCCAGTTGTATTTTTTATATATTGTAAATTAAAGTGTACAATTGACTGTATTGGATAGACTCAACCTTCATGTTATAGGCTATGCATTAACCCGTTTAATCCCAAATTTTTTCTTGCAACTTGAGTACATGTATTTTACTCCTTAGACCTCCCTAACACTCAAACAATATGCCTTTTTTGATTTTATGTTGGTTAAGTTAGTGAAATATTAGGTTTTATACTCGGTCACAATAGTGACCGGTGGGAAACTACATAGTCAGAATTCATTCAAATTCTTCAATTTGACCTATTGACACAATTCATTACAAGACATCCAATATCTCGTTTTGTCATTTCGTGAAGAAGGCTTAGTGAGGTGAAAAGGTTGTCATGAACAAAGTTACACCCTGGAGGAACTTCTGCTTGTTCGGCTAGACCCCTATGGGCTAGACCATGTCTACACTTGGGCCCTGTCCTAGGCCAGTTTCAGGTAGATGTGTGCACTCTTTCAGTGCACTGAAGATGGGCCGAATGTTGTAGAAAGGGTTGTTTGTGGTCATGTGTGAGGCACACCATTTGGTTCTCATGAACATCTGCACAATCCTCCAGATCACATCTGCATCGCCATTCAATAGTCTACCTGGCAAATGGGCCGTTCCACCCTGGGACTCCCTATCTGAGCCATCACTATTACAGTCACTTTCAATTTGGGGTGGGGGTAGGGGTGGGGGGAAGGGGGTCATGCACGTCCAGAAGGTCCAACACATTAAACGTTTCTGGGATACTGATAACTGCACTAAACAAAATTATAAATGCAACACTTTTGTTTTTGCCCCCATTTTTCATGAGCTGAACTCAAAGATCTAGACCATTTCTATGTACACAAAAGGCCTATTTCTATCAAATATTGTTCACAAAGCTGTCTAAATCTGTGTTAGTGAGCACTTCTCCTTCGCCGTGATCATCCATCCTCATCACAGATGTGGCATATTCAGTGTAGGATTGCCAATACCCGCCAATATCTGCCTATACTGTACCTGTGTTTTCAATTGAAGCACTGCTATACTGTTATACTACCGGTCACAATTGTGACCGTAAACAAATTTACAAGTCTTACGAGCAAAATATAAATGCAGGAGTATAATTCTCAAAATATATCAGTAGTAGACCCTTTAAAGAACATATGTACAAAATTTGATAGTTCTATCTGTAAATTAAGATGTTTTATATAGCCTACTACTTATTTTAGTCTGAGGAAGAAATCTTCTTCTAGATGTGCAAGCAGGAAGTGACCTGATCTGGTCATGTGACCTTTCACACTAGTCACATGACATTAATTGATTTTAATCAAGACAGTCTATTTTGTCATTTAAAAGTTGAATTTCTTGCCCAAAGTCAATAACAACATTTTTAGAGCTTCCAGAAATAAGAAAAAAGCTGCGGTCACAATTGTGACCGGTGGGATTAAACGGGTTAAACTATTTTAATGAAATGGAAACAAGCAGTCCAGTACTCTAAAACCAGCTGTGTGACTTCCCACACTAGTCTAGAGGAAAAACAAGATAACAAATGTGCTGAGATTATGCATCCGCTTCACATTTTAATGGTAGCCTATAATAAGAACCTACATTGAAGTACACACTTCATATAACACATAACATTTCTCTTCACAGAACTCAACCATTTTTTTTTTTTTACATAGTACTCCCACTGGTAGATAAGATTCAAGTTCAAGTTGATTTTCTTTATACAGCACATTTTATAACTGCCACTGACTAAGTGCTTTAAAGAACTACAAAAATAAAAAAAATTAAGAGAGCTAGCCCATACTGCAATTCTTCCTTCTATTTCTTATCCCGACATACGTTCAGATTGTCAGCCCAGAAAAGCACATGAAATCCGTTTCAAGGCAAGCTACATCCATATGTGGTTTAAAATCCTATTCAAATACCGGGACATATCTCAGTCTGAACGATCGGGTTTCGGGTGGTGTGTGACTCTCACGCCACATAAAATGAGATGGTGCTCGATGCAGAGCCAACTCTTGCTAACTAACAGAGTATTTTTTTTTTATTTGTGTTCAATAAAAATCAAGCTGGCGCTGAAATATGTTGCTTTTGAAATCATGCCGAGTGCTCGGAAGTTAACCTGCGCGTGCGCGGTGAAGCTGGAGCTCCAGCGAGGGGAGGAACTGGAGCTCCAGCGAGGGGAGGAGCTAGAGCTCCAGCTCCTCCCATTTGGCTCTGCATCGAGGACCACTTGCAAACTTCGGAAGCAAGTCCCGCGTTCTCGATCGCGTCACTCAGCTCGCTCTAGTTATCTAATTTAGGTATTTTTAGTGATTGTCTTCACTGTTTATAACAACACGAAAATCAGGATATTATAATAATGTATAATAATGAATATTGTATATATTTTAATATAGGCTATATGAAATATATGAAATAAAATGACACAATCCTGTTTCTTTTTTTAAATGTCATTTTTAAATATCAATATTTAGCCATTATTAAAGTATAGCCTAAAAGTCATTCTCAAGTCAAAATTGCCTAAATATATTAAGTTGTCAAAATTCACTTTGCCCTTAGCTAAAACAATTTGCCAGGTAACAAATTGTGAATGAGAGCAAAGATCACCCGCATTACATTTACATAGAGACAAATTATATCTCATGTTTAAGGTGCAAAGTCATTACTGCATTAGTCTAGACTAATTAGAACTCTGTCCTGTCATATACCAAATGATACCTTTATACAATTAAATAATATTTATATTTATATATTCTTTCATTGACTTAATTTATTTTTCTCTTTTAACTGAAGGGTTGGTAAAAATCTATTTTACTAGGACAAAAAAATCAAATCCCTTTAAAATGCTAAATTAAAAAGAAGAAATATTATAGAACAAAAATAAACTGCATTGGTTTTACTGGATGGAGGAAGTTTAATTTTTAGGTGTCCGGTCACTTCTGACCAGATAGGCCCAGGATGTGAGTCCAAAAGGAAGACCATATGAACAATTTTCAAGTCAGTTCTTAAACATACTGGGAGCCAGTGTAATGAAACTAAAACAGGGGTAATGTGGTTGTATTTTATAAACACCATAACTTCCACACTACTGTCATCACTCAGTGTAAAAGATCCCACACAGCTGAGGACTGAGCATTACCTTCACTGCTGTCAGGTGTTCTGGGAAGATATATATATATATATATATATATATATATATATATATATATATATATATATATATATAAACATGATATTATTATTATATTAGTAATATTAGTTTTCATTTAAATGACTATTAATATGTGGATGCTGCACACTGGTGGTGGTTGAGGAGATTCCCCTCTCTATGTAAAGCGCTTTGAGTGCAGAGAAAAGCGCTATATAACTGTAATGAATTATTATTATTATTATTAATATCATAATTAGTTAAGCTATCTTTGCAATAAAAACAGAAGAGACAAACATTATTTATTTCTGTATATCTGTATTATATCTGTAGCCCGAAAACCATTGCCTGTCCTTTGGTTTGTATAATGGTTTACCAAGGAAGGTATGGTTGGAAGATATTAAAGCAGAAATGCATTCTTAACCTTGAATTTAAGCACTTACATTTTAACACAATTAAACAGATTCCTGTGTCTATTTATGTCCCTCAGCACCTTATATTTGTATCTGTATATATGGATTGTGTTTAATGTCCACGCCACATGATCTTTTGTGTCTGGGGAAGTTAAGATCTTTTTGAAGCTCAGTTCTGTTTAGCTTCTGCCAGGCTGCTGAAGTGACAATGGGGTAATTTGATCCAGACTCATCAGAGCTATAGGTCCAAAAAGGTTAAAAGCTTTCTGAAGCTTAGAACTGAATCGGTCCTCGTGATCCCATCCAGACACTACAATATAATACTTATTTTTTGCTCTTTTTTAATGAAAAATCTGAACAGCTTTATATTCTAAAATGTAAACATCTATAGCAAAGAAACAGCATGTTTAACAAATTACTATTATGAAACACAAATTAACAAAGCATATTTGTAAATACTCCAGTGGTGTTTTTAGTATTTAAGATTCATTCAGTTATTTATACAGTACATAAGGAACATACAGAATAGATAAAAATGACACTATGTTAACTAGGACTTGTCTTGAACCACTCTGTGGTCTGTGTGGGTCCTAACGCCCCAGTATTGTGATAGGTTGACATAATTCAACAGTCTGAGAGCACCGTTCAATGGATTTTATTTATTTATTTATTTATTTATTTAGAAAAAGGACAGTGTACATTAATA